CTCACAAAGACCATTATGTTCACCTATGTAATTGATTACCATCAGAAGGCAGGGCAGCCACTTGTCTTGTGTGACTCAAGGCAACATTTTGAATTGGAATTTCAAGTTAAATTCTATGCCAGAATGACTGCTAAAACAAGAAGCTCAAGACATGAGTTCCATTTTAGTCCAGCCAGCAAATATGTTTATTTGGCTATCATCAAATCAATGCATCTCTTTGAATCATTTTCCCCTGATCCTTCTGTATTCACCAAATATATATTGAGTTCCTCTTCTGTGTAATTCCTGAAATAAGTGTTGTGGATGAAATTACTTTGATAATCACTATGGCATCTTGTTAGTGGATTCCTAGGGAACTAGATGTACCTTAGTAGAGGAATATGAAAAAGATAGGGGGAAAAGATTGGAAATGATTGATCTTAGGACATCTCAAAAATGATTTCTAGTGGGAGAGTACTTAAACTAGAGGGATTTATGTATCATATAGGATTTTTTTTCCTAATGAACTAATCACAAGATTGAAAATTATTAAAGATATAACACAGAAAAAGAATGTATTTGGTATTTTTAAAGGAGCATTATAATATTCCTCATGGGAAACATTAGAATTTTATTGAGTTTTCACATACTTATTTTATCATTCACTATTGTTCCATTTTAAATTGTGTAAGTTTATTTGTTCTCTAGGTCTGCTACAACAAAGTATCACAAACTGAGTGGCTTAAAACAAACGTAATTGATTTTCTTACAGTTCTGCAGTCTAGAAGTCCAAAATCACAGTGCTGGCAAGACCTCTGAGTTTATAGTGAAAACTTCCCTCTGAGGTTTTCCCTGTATATATATATATATACAACCTTCCTCTGAGGTTATAGTGAAAAATTGGTTTCATCCGTCTCTCTAAGCTTTTGGTGGCATCTGTAATCCTTAGTTTACATTGGCTTGTAATTTCATCCCTCCAATTTCTGCCTGCATCTTCACTTGACCTCCTGTGTGTGTGTTTGTCTGTGTGTATGTCTGCCTGGGTGTCCAAATTTCCCTCTTAAAATGACAGAGCTGTAATGCATTTAGGGCCCATACTACTCCAGTATGACCTAATATTAATTTAATTACATTTGCAAATAAGCTATTTCCAAATAAGGTCATAATCACAGGTTTCAAGTGAACATAACTTTGAGGTTGGGTAGGGGCACTATTCAACCCAGTACAAGTGTGATATATTTAATCAAAGATAAAAAATGCCAGCAAAATAAAGAATTGACAGAGAGTTAGCAGAAATATTTTGAGTCAATGTAATGATGCTTCTTAAATAACTGCATTCATAGTTTTGTTTTTATTACAATATTGAGGGCATTTTAAAAATAACATCATACAAACACTTTATTTGTATTTAACCTTATTAAATTTTGTTCCTACAATTAGAGCTACAAACCAGTAGAGATTTTTTTTTCTTTTCAAGGAAAAAACAATAATCCAGAAAATATTTGGTTCATTACAATGATTAAATAAATATTGGTTGAATACTACAAAAATAATTACTAAAATTAAAAAATAATATTATAAGTATCATTTCTAACCTTTTATTTTACTCATATTTTTAAAGAAAAAATATTAATTTATTTAAATAAATTTTCTTAAATATTTCCATCTATATTTATACATTTAACTTATTTAATTTTTTCTTTCACGTACTGCCTAAACAAACAAAATGTTCCCACTTTCTTAGATAAGTTAATAGCTAATAAATTAAACCAATAACATTTCAACTTAAAATCATGAGCTACATCAGATGCTCAGCTATACACTTAATGATTGAGACTTACATAGTTAAAATATTACTCTAAAAGGCCAAATTCTCTTAAATGTTTCCATATCAAACATGTACAGTTTCTTTAACCCAAAAATATTTATGTATAGGTGTAATTTCTCCTAAACATTCCTATAATTAATGTTTTCTGAGGGTGAAAGATGCTTACTTACCAGGGAAAAAAAATTGTCATTTCATATTCTTTGCAGAACACCAGAGGTTTTAGCCAGGTTGAAGTCCCTTTTGTAATTTCTATGGTTTTTTATGCCATAACTTAAAAAGGGCATGGTCACATACAGGGCTGACTGATTCATTAGGCAGAAGGGCATAGTATCTAGAGCCTATGATACTTTCAAATGCCCAAAATGTGTTTTAACTTACATTTCTTTTAAAATTGGGACAAAAATTAATAAAATAATGCACATATAACATCGAATCCAGCTGGATTATGCTTACCTATATATCAATGCAGGGGTAAAATATAATGTCTAATTCATTTTCCCACAAAGGCAAAGGTGCCCAGAACCCATGAGAGCTATAGTATGCCCCTAGTGACTTAGCTCACATCCCTGAGTGTGAGTCCTGTCACAACCTAATTTTTTCACTTTATCTACTTTAGGTTCTGGGGTACATGTGCAGAATGTGCAGGTTTGTTACACAGATATGCACATGCTATGGTGGTGGTTTGCTGCATGCATCACCCCATCATCTATACTAGGTATTTCTCCTAGTGCTATCCCTCCCCTAGCACCCTAGCACCCACCCCCCTGCTATCCCTCCCATAGCCCCCTACTCCTAAACATGCCCCATTGTATGATGTTCCTCTACATGTGTCCATATGTTCTCAATGTTCAACACCCACCTATGAGTGAGATCATGCAGTGTTTGGTTTTCTGTTCTTGTGTCAGTTTGCTGAGAATGATGGTTTCCAGCTTCATCCATGTTCTTGCAAAGGATATGAACTCATCCTCTTTTGTGACTGCATAGTATTCCATGGTGTATATGTGCTACATTTTCTTTATCCAGTCTATCATTGATGGGCATTTGGGTGGTTTCAAGTCTTTGCTATTGTGAATAGTGCTGCAATAAACATACATGTGCATGTTTCTTTATGATAGAATGATTTATAATCCTTTGGGTATATATCCAGTAATGGGACTGCTGGGTCAAATGGTATTTCTATTTCTAGATCCTTGAGGAATCGCCACACTGTCTTTTACAGTGGTTCAACTAATCTATGCTCCCACCAACAGTGTAAAAGCATTTCTATTTCTCCATATACTCTCCAAAATCTGTTGTCTCCATATTTTTTTAATTATTGCCATTCTAACTGGCATAAGATGGTATCTCAATGTGGTTTTGATTTGCATTTCTCTAATGACCAGTGATGATGAGCTTTTTTTCATATATTTTTTGGTTGCATATATGTCTTCTTTTGAGAAATGTCTGTTCATATACTTCACCTAATTTTTGATGGGGTTGTTTTTTTCTTGTAAATTTGTTTAAGTTTTTGTAGATTCCTGATATTATCCCTTTGTCAGATGGGTAGATTGCAAAAACTCTTTCCCAGTCTGTTGGTTGCCAATTCACTTTAATAATAAATTCATTTGCTGTGCAGAAGCTCTTTAGTTTAATTAGATCCCATTTATCAATTTTGGCTTTTGTTGCCATTGCTTTTGGTGTTTTAGTCATGAAGTCCTTGTCCATGCCTATATCCTGAATGGTACTATCTAGGTTTTCTTCTATGGTTTTTATGGTGTTAGGTCTTAAGTTTAAAACTTTAATCCATCTGGAGTTAATTTTGTATAAGGTGCAAGGAAGATATCCAGTTTCAGCTTTCTGCATATGGCTAGCCAGTTTTCCCAACACCATTTATTGAATAGAGAATGCTTTTCCCATTGCTTCTTTTTGTCAGGTTTGTCAAAGATTAGATAGTTGTAGATGTGTGGCATTATTTCTGAGGGTTCTGTTCTGTTCCATTGATATATATATATACATATATATACATACATACACACACACACATATATGTATGTATGTATATATATATATATATATATATATCTGTTTAGTACCAGTGCCATGCTGTTTTGATTACTGTAGCCTTGTAGTGTAGTTTGATGTCAGGTAGCATGATCCCTCCAGCTTTGTTTTTTGTTTTTTTGTTTCCTTAGGATTGTCTTGGCTATGTGAGCTCTTTTTTTTTTTTTTTTTTTTCCATATGAAAAGTAAGGAGGTTTTTTCCAATTCTGTGAAGAAAGTCTATAGTATCTTGATAGGGATAGCACTGACTCTATGAATTACTTTGGGCAGTATGGCCATTTTTACAATATTGAGTCTTCCTCACCATGAACATGGAATGTTTTTCCATCTGTTTGGGTCCTCTCCTATTTCCTTGAGCAGTGGTTTGTAGTTCTCCTTGAAAAGTTCCTACACATCCCTTGTTAGTTTTATTCCTAGGTATTTTATTCTTTTTGTAGCAATTGTGAATGGGAGTTCACTCACGGTTTGTCTCCCTGTTTGCCTATTACTGATGTATAAAAATGCTTGTGATTTTTGCACACTGATTTTATATTATGAGACTTTGCTGAAGTTGCTTATCAGCTTAAGGAGTTTGAGGCTGAGAAAATGGGGTCTTCTAAATATACAGGCATGTCATCTACAAACAGAGACAATTTGACCTCCTCTTTACCTAATTGGATACGCTTTATTTCTTTTTCTTGCCTGATTGCCCTGGTCAGAAATTCCAATACTGTGTTGAATAGGAGTTGTGAGAGGGCACCCTTGTGCCAGTTTTCAAAGGGAATGCTTCCAGTTTTTGCCCATTCAGTATAATATTTGCTGTGGGTGTGTCATAAATAGCTCTTATTATTTTGAAATAAGTTCAACTGATGCCTTGTTTATTGAGAGTTTTTAACGTAAAGGGCTGTGGAATTTTGTCAAAGGTCTTCTCTGCATCTATTGAGATAATCATGTGCTTTTTGACTTTGGTTCTGTTTATGTGATGGATTATGTTTATAGATTTTGTATGTTGAACCAGCCTTGCATCCCAGGTAGGAAGTCGACTTGATAGTGATGGATAAACTTTCTTTGTGCTGTTGGATTTGGTTTGCCACTATTTTATTGAGAATTTTCACATCAATGTTCATCATGGATATTGGTCCAAAATTTTCTTTTTCTGTTGTGTTTTTGCCAGGTTTTGGTATAAGAACAATGTTGATGTCAGAGTTTTCCAAGATGCCACGGTAGGAACAACTCGGGATTGCAGCTTTCAGTGAAGGTGCAGAGGGTAAGTCCTAGCCGCATTTCCAGATGGATATTTCTTGCCCACAGAACAGGGAAATTCCCAGGTGTAGGAGAGACACAGGAAGCCAGCACACCCTCTCGGCTTGCGCTGGCCCTTTCGGCCGGCTCCGCAGTGCAGCGGCACCCCACACAAAACGTGCTGATCTGGGTGCCCAGTTAAACCGGCAATCTGAGATTTGGGAGGGCAGATTAGCATATCCATCAGATTAACTGGGACTTGGACAGTGAGCCAGACAAGGAGATTCCTGGGAAGTGACATTTGAGCTGGTGCAGTGGGCTCCTGCATGGGAAATCACACATATCCCAGTGCCCTACCAGCAGGCAAATAAAACACCTGGGAGAGAGTCAACCATTAAACTTAAAAAAAAAAAAAGAGGGAGAAAGGGCTCTGAGGCAGGGAGCCAGGGACAAACAAAATGGCAATTTGAAACACTCGGGGTTGAGAGTTTCACTGTGGGCACAGCTGAATCCAGGATGATGCAGCTCTGTGGGGGAGGGGCATTCACCACTACCCAGGTATTGCACCCCTACTGAGGTACACGCCCATTGCTGACAAAGCCTGCCATTGCCAAGGCAACCTGCCATAACAGAAACTCTGCCAACAGGGCAGAGCCCACAGCAGCAGGGACTGGAGTGGACCTCAGCAGTCATACAGCAGAGGGGCTAGACTGTTAGAAGGAAAACTAAGTAACAGAAATACTTCAGCATCAACAATCTGGGCATACACTCAGAGACCGAATCGAAAAGCCAGCAACTACTCAGATGACAGGTGGATAAATCCACAAAGATGGGAAGAAACCAGTGCAAAAAGGAGGAAAACACCCGAAACCAGAACACCTCGCCTCCTACAAAGAACCAAAACTCCTCACCAGCAAGGGAACAAAGCTGGATGGAGAATGACTGTGATGAAATGGCGGAATTAGACTTCAGAAGGTGGATAATGAGAAACTTTTGTGAGCTAAAAGAACATGTTTTAAATCAATGCAAAGAAACTAAGAACCTTGAAAAAAGATTTAAAAAAAGATTCGAGGAAATGATAATAAGAATGGATACGTTAGAGAGGAATATGAATGAATTGAAGGAGCTGAAAAACACAATACGAGAACTTCGCGAAGCATGCACAAGTTTCAACAGCCGAATTGACCAAGCAGAAGAAAGAATATCAGAAGGCAAAGATCAACTCAATGAAATTAAATGAGAAACCAAGATTAGAGAAAAAAGTGAAAAAAGGAATGAACAAAGTCTCCAAGAAATGTGGGACTATGTGAAGAGACCTAACCTACATTTGATAGGTGTATCAGAATGTGATGAAGAGAATGAATCCAAGCTGGAAAATACTTTTCAGGATATTATCCAGGAAAATTTCCCCAAAGTAGCAAGGCAGGCCAATGTTCAACTTCAGTAAATACAAAGAACACCACAAAGAAGGTCATTATATAATGGTAAAAGGATTGATACAACAAGAAGAGCTAACAATCCTAAATATATATGCGCCCAATACAGGAGCACCCAGATATATAAGGCAAGTTCTTAACGATCTACAAAGAGACTTAGACCCTCACACAACAATAGTGGGAGACTTTAACACTCCACTGTCAATATTAGACAGATCAACAAGACAGAAAATTAACAAGGATATCCAGGGCTTGAACTCAGACCTGGAACAAGCAAACCTGATAGACATTTAGAGAACTCTCCACCCCAAAACCACAGAATATACATTCTTCTCAGCACCACATCACAACTACTCTAAAATTGACCACATAATAGGAAGTAAAGCACTCCTAAGCAAATGCAAACCAACTGAAATTGTAACAAACTGTCTCTCAGACCATAGTGCAATCAAGTTAGAACTCAGAATTCAGAAACTAACTCAGAACCGCACAGCATCATGGAAACTGAACAACAGGCTCTTGAATGTTGATTGGATAAACAATGAAATGAAGGCAGAAATAAAGAAGTTCTTCAAAACCAATGAGAATGAAGACACAACATGCCAGAATCTCTGGGACACATTTAGAGCAGTCTCTAGAGGATAATATATAGCAATAAGTGCCCACATGAGAAGAGTGGAGAGATCCAAAATTGACACCCTATCGTCAAAACGGAAAGAGCTAGAGGAGCAAGATCAAAAACACTCAAAACCTAGCAGAAGACAAGAAATAACTAAGACCAGAGCAGAACTGAAGGAGATAGAGACATGAAAAACCCTTCAAAAATCAATAAATCTAAGAGCTAGTTTTTTGAAAAAATCAACAAAATAGACAAACCACTAGCCAGACTAATAAAAAAGAAAAGAGAGAACAACCAAATAGAAGCAATAAAAAACGATAAAGCGGAAATCACTAGAGCTTCCACAGAATCCAAACCATCATCAGAGAATACTACAAACAACTCTATGCACATAAACTAGGAAACCTGGAAGAAATTGATAAATTCCTGGACATATGTGTCCTCCCAAGTCTAAACCAGGAGGAAGCCAAAACTATGAATAGACCAATAACAAGGTCTGAAGTCGAGGCAACAATTAAGAGCCTACCACACAAAAAAAGGCCAGATCCAGATGGGTTCACAGCTGAATTCTACCAGACACACAAAGAGGAGCTGGTACCATTCCTTCTGAAACTATTCCAAATAATCCAAAAATAGGGAATCTTCCCAAATCATTTTATGAGACCAGCATCATCCTGATACCAAAACCCAGCAGAGACTCAACAAGAAAAGAAAACTTCAGGCCAATATCCATGATGAACATAGATGCAAAAATCTTCAATAAAATACTGGCAAACCAATTGCAGCAGCACATCAAAAAAACTTATCCATCATGATCAAGCAGGATTTATCCCGGGGATGCAAGGCTGGTTCAACATACGCAAGTCTATAAACGTAATTCACCACATAAACAGAACCAAAAAACAAAAACCACATGATTATCTCAATTGATGCAGAGAAGGCATTTGAAAAAATTCAACAGCCCTTTATGCTAAAAACCCTCAATAAACTCTGTATTGATGGAATGTATCTCAAAATAATAAAAGCTATTTACGACAAACCAGTAGCCAATATCATACTAAATGGACAAAAACTGGAAGCATTCCCTTTGAAATCTGGCACTAGACAAGGATGCCCTCTCTCACCACTCCTATTCAATATAGTACTAGAAGTTCTAGTCAGAGCAATCGGGCAAGAAAAAGAAATAAAGGGTATTCAAATAGGAAAGAAGGAAGCCAAATTGTCTCTATTTGCAGACGACATGATTGTATATCTAGAAGACCCCATCGCCTCAGCCCAAAAACTCCTGAAACTGATAAGCAACTTCAGCAAAGTCTCAGGATATAAAATCAATGTGCAAAAATCACAAGCATTCCTCTACACCAATAACAGACTTAAAGACAGCCAAATCAAGAATGAACTGCCATTCACGATTGCTACAAAAACAATAAAATACCTAGGAATACAGCTTACAAAGAACGTAAGGGACCTCTTGAAGGAAAGCTACAAACCACTGCTCAACGAAATATGAGAGGACACAAACAGATGGAGAAACATTCCATGTTCATGGTTAGGAAGAATCAGTATGGTGAAAATGGCCATACTGCCCAAAGTAATTTACAGAATCAATGCTATCCCCATCAAGCTACCATTGACTTTCTTCAGAGAACTGGAAATAACCACCATGAACTTTATATGGAACAAAAAGAGAGCCCGCAGAGCCAAGTCAATTCTAAGCAAAAAGAACACAGCAAGAGGCATCACACTACCGGACTTCAAACTATATTACAAGGCTACAGTAATCAAAACAGCATGGTACTGGTACCAAAACTGAGATATAGACCAATGGAACAGAACAGAGGCATCGAAGGCAACACAACGTATCTACAACCATACAATCTTTGATAAACCTGACAAAAACAAGCAATGGGGAAAGGATTCCCTGTTTAATAAATGGTGTTGGGAAAGCTGGCTAGCCATGCGCAGAAAGCAGAAACTGGACCCCTTCCTGACACCTTACACTAAAATTAACTCCAGTTGGATTAAAGACTTAAACATAAAACCTGGCACCATAAAAACCCCAGAAGAAAATCTAGGCAAAACCACCCAGGACATAGAAGTAGGCAAGGACTTCATGACCAAAACACCAAAAGCATTGCCAACAAAAGCCAAAATAAACAAATGGGACCTAATCAAACTCCACAGCTTCTGCATGGCAAAAGAAACAGTCACTAGAGTGAATTGGCAACCAACAGAATGGGAAAAAATTTTTGCAGTTTATCCATCTGACAAAGGGCTGATATCCAGAATTTACAAAGAACTCAAACAGATTTACAGGAAAAAAAAAAATAAGCCCATTCAAAAATGGGCAAAGGATATAAACAGATACTTTACAAAAGAAGACATACATGAGGCCAACAATCATATGAGAAAATGCTCATCATCACTGGTCATTAGGGAAATGCAAACCAAAACCACACTGAGATACCATCTCATGCCAGTTAGAATGGCCATTATTAAAAAATCTGGAGACAACAGATGCTAGAGAGGATGTGGGGAAATAGGAACTCTTTTACACTGTTGGTGGGAGTGTAAGTTAGTTCAACCATTGTGGAAGACAGTGTGGCAATTCCTCAAGGCCTTAGAAATAGAAATTCCATTTGACCCAGTAATCCCATTACTGGGTATATATCCAAAGGACTATAAATCGTTCTACTATAAGGACACATGCACACAAGTGTTTATTGCAGCACTGTTTACAATAGCAAAGACCTGGAACCAACCCAAATGCCCATCAATGGTAGACTGGACTGGGAAAATGTGGCACATATACACCATGGAATACTGTGTAGCAATCAAAAACAATGAGTTTGTGTTTTTTGTAAGAACATGGATGAACCTGGAGAACATCATTCTCAGCAAACTGACACAAGAACAGAAAATGAAATACCACATATTCTCACTCATAGGTGGGTGAGGAAAAATGAGAACACATGGACACAGGGAAGGGAGTACTACTCATCGGGTTCTATTGGGGGGAATGGGGAGGGATAGCGGCGGGGGGAGCTGGGGAGGGATAGCCTGGGGAGAAATGCCAAATGTGGGTGATGGGCAGGAAGGCAGCAAAACACACTGCCATGTGTGTACCTAAGCAACTATTTTGCACGTTCTGCACATATACTCCAAAACCTAAAATGCAATAAAAAAAGAAAAAGAATAATGTTGATGTCATAAAATGAGTTATGGAAGATTCCTTGTTTTTGTATTGTTTGGAATAGTTTCAGAGGGAATGGTACCAGTTCCTTTTTGTACTTCTGCTGGAATTCAGATGTTAATCTAACTGGTCCCAGACTTTTTTTGGTTGGTAGGCTAATTACTGCGTCAATTTCAGACTCATTGTTGGTCTGTTGTTGGATTGAACTTCTTCCTGGTTTAGTC